TCTGAGAGCTATTAGACTGCAAACACTGGTTTTGAAGGCTATGGTAGAGTCTCGGATGTTTATGATCCTTCATCTGCTCTTTAATTCCCAGTTGCCGGGCCTCCACTTCACTGATCTGCTGTTTCAACCGTTGTTTTTGCATTGCTGTTGCTTGTCTGCAGGTTCTTATGAGTGCCTCTTTCATTGGGGCCCTGTGTCTTTTCGCATCTGTGTGTGTCGTGTGCGCGATCTCTGCGTTCACGTTGCCCATCGAGACCAAGGGCAGGGCGCTGCAGGTTTGTATGACACCTCCGGGGGCTCTTGCGTCTCTAAATACTAGTTAGAAATGCCTACATTGTGATTCAGCTGTAATGTACATCAAAGTGTCCTAACGGTTCATAAAAACAAATGAGGACTGACAGATGAGCATGGGAACATGCTGTTGCAGCTCAAAGCACTGCCACTGCAGCTGCCCAAGCTCATTTCTCCCAAAAGAACAAACCACATGTCCCAGCCCCACACACCAGCAAGCCAGCTCGTGAGCGCAAACCTTTCCTGGCTCTTCCTTAACGCTGCTGGTCACAGGCACATTCTCTGCTCTGCCACCTCTGCTAGAGGAGAGAAAACAGCACACAGAAGTAACTAACTCCTTAAATTGCCCAAATTGCATCTTCATCAGATAGATACAAGTCAAAAGCCCCAGTTTACACAGCCAGTTAGCTAAGCCCCTGTGGCTAGTGTTTCCTAAAAGGCTGTGGAGGCAATAGGCTAAAAGAGTAGGCACGAAGATGGGAGTGGAAGGCGGGCTTAGCTCCAGCCGGCCTGCCACGCACGCGCAGTACCAGTTCAGTGCAGGGGAGGATGGCGAGTAGCGTTGCCACTGGGGCTCGTGACCAGCAAAGAAATTTCCACCTCGCACTGCACGTTATTCTGCAGCCCACGCTCCCCATGTAAGCCAGACCATGGACATTACGCAGAAGCCTAGAGACAGTCAAGGAAACCATTATAAAATATGTACCCATCTAAGTGAATCGGGTCACATGCTAATCTGTCCTCGTCCTCAAACACTTGTATTTTAGAAATACAGACTCATGTTTTTATGTTATTAAAAAAATTTACGGACTGGAAAACCAGTTTTTAAAAAGATATCAGACAAAACCCTATGGGCAAAACTCAACTCATGCAGAGAGACCAGAGAGCTGCTTAGCCCTCAAGGGCCTATGTTTACAGTAATTATTACTAAGCAAAACACCTCCTTAAAACCACTTCAGACATAAAAGAAAATCTTTGTTTTTTCTTTATATAGCTGGATTATCTTCGGCCAGCAGTGCCTGAGACAAACGGGAGTGTAAATGAGTCCTCAGTGGGATGGGCTCTTTTTTCCTAGGGACTTGACTCAATAGTTTTCTTATAAAGAAAAAAAAAAGTTGAAATTTTTCTGCAGAAATCATCCTGCGATAAAGAAGAGCTACAGCTCTAGTTGCTGGCCTTTATATGCACAAGTCAAAAGGACAGCAAAAACTGATGTAACGAATTGTGGTGCTAAGAGAAGAGAGCACTATCTTATGTTCAACTGGGTAAAACTCTTATCTCGTACTCATTTCTGAGATTATAGTTCCATATGTAAATTCATTCACTGGTGCTGAATCCTGGCTGCTGAGCATGTCGTGCAACGACCTCACACAACACAGTTATTCAACCCATACACAAACTTAATACACAACGTACAAAAGCTTTCTTCTTTCGAACATGGCAATATTTAGTGCTAAGACTCCAGACTGTAGACACAGATCTCAATATCAGACCTGCAACTAAGTGAAAGAAAATATACATACATATACATATATACATAAAAGAAATTGCTTCTGGAATCTAGATAATGACTTTTAAAGAGTTTACCTACCCATTTTCAGTTTATTAGGACACCATCATCCTGCTCTCAAAGCAGTCATAGGGATAGCCCATCAAAGGGGAGACTTTCTGGACACAGCTCATGCATTTTCACATACCTTTTTCCCCTACATCCATTTCCGTTGGTTTTCATGTGTATTTTATTAATCTTTTGTATTTTCTTTCTTCTTAGCAAGTTAAATGAAAGCGAGTGTTTGATGTTGATTGGGTATGAAAAGAAAAAGAAACCTTTGGAATCTGTCATTTCCTGTGAGCAGCATTTGATGTTGATTGCTCCACCATACCATTTCCATCATAACAGACTGCAAGCGACCAGTGGGAGGACTGTGATTTGTATAGGCAAATGGCAATTTTCTCAACTATGTACTCTTTCCTATAATTCAATAAAAAGACATTTTCTACCCATCCCATGCAGCAAGACGAATACTCTCACTCCTAGTGTCATTACTGCTGCCATGCCACAAAAGAATGGAAAATGACAGTCATCAAAGCAAGTATTCTACACAAGGATTAGATTACTTGTAGGCTAAAATCAGTATTGATGACCATCCTATCTGCTTCTGTAGATTGAGCCAGAGGGTAAAAAATAATACACAAATAGGTTCTTTGCCATAGGAGGTAAAAAAATGCAATACTTCCCTAGGAAAACAAAACAGCATTCCTCAAATATTTATGCATTATTATCTTCATTAGAGAGGTTAAATTCAACCTCTCCAGCCCCATTACACAGGCAGTTTCTGAGGGTTCTTAGGGTGACACTCAAGGGTAAAGACAAAAGTTGAGTCATATTTTTCCCCTGGATTATTTAACAGAAACCTTTCAGACAACTTGCTGTAAAAGCAGAGCCTGTCATCGTGCTTGCTCAGCCCCACTGCTCCGTGGTAGCACAGAGAGCAGCTTCCCAAGAAGCGGCTGGCCAGAGGGGCCATCAAAACTCCAAGTCTCTTGGTGACCTGCCAAGAGACATGGTTCCCTGTGTGAAGGTCGTCAGGGCCCGAGGGCAGCTGTGCCAGGCCGGCCCTGACCCATCTCCTGTACAAACCGGTAAGCCAGAGCAATGCATGGGAAGGACAACCCCCTCTGGACATTCAGATCTGACACTGAGGGACTCAATGGCCAGCCGGCCTGGCTCTGTAGTCAATGCAAGAGTTAGCTCTATAGTTAATGCTTTTCCCCCTACTATTTTTCCCTGCAAGGGCAGGAGTGTGAAGGTAGAGGCAAGCATTCCAAATGCATTCCGCCTCCTAACATATCTGTGCTTGCATCTTATCACCCAGAGAAATACTCAGCACCTTCCCCTGGCAGCATGGGTATGCTTGGTGACAGGGCATCTAGGGCTTTGAGGCACTGCTAGGTTTTTAACTTTCAAGTGTTGCAATGGCTACACCTCTCATTTCTCGTCTCCGCGCTCCTGTAGTGTCAGCTGATCACACCTGCTTTGTGAAAATGCCCTCCTTCACAGGCCTCCTCTGCTCCGTCACCTCTCCTCCTTTTTTTCCTGGTACAACACATGGTAGAACTGCTACAGGAGCTCTCTTCAGGCCATAAAGCTTCCCATAAAGAGTAGAAGAAAAAAGGGAAAATGGTTACACTCACCAACTTAAAAGCTAATCAAATCAGCATGGCGTTTCAAAAGGTGTTAGGAGCGCCAGAGGCCTGCAGTAAACAGGGGCGGCAGTCGCCTCTCCTCGGAGCATCCGCTGCGCGCTGCTAGGCACTGCCTCCCTATGACCAAGGCAGGCAGCAGCTTCTCTTCTGCTGAGAAATCAATAAAAGGCCTTTTTCTGCGCACACATGTGCCCTGGAAGGAGGCACAGACAGCATCTTGCCTCCCCAGTGATGCATGCCCAGCAGTGACACACAGCAAGTTGAAAACAGCGTTGTGTACACGCAGATGTCTTTATAACTCCATCTGAAAAACTCCAGCACAATAAAAGCACGGCGAGTCCAAGAGACTGCCTGTGCCTCCTAAAATTCAGCTTTAAGATGACACAAATGATGAGTGCGAACCAGAAGTTGGAACAGCCACTGACAAGCTCTACTTCACTCTGCGAGCTTTGAAGGCCTAAACAACCATCTATGATGCTGACAGGCCTCCCGGAACTAAATTAAAAGGGCAATTTGTCACAACTTCTGCTGATTTTAAGAAGGACTGACAAAGGACGAAGAAGCATTACTGTTCCTTTTTTTTTTTTCCTTCTTTTCAAACTTTTGTACTTCCCAATGAAGACCAATGCAGGTTTCATTCCCAAAATAACATATTTAGAAACTTGGTAAAATAATAAGAGCTTACGGACAGAAAGGATTCACTTTTTCCTAAACATATCCAAAGTCCTGTAACAGTAGGTGCAAGTAATCATTTTTTCCTTGCAGTTTTACCATGTTCTCTAAGAAATTTAGATACATCAAAGCTGTGAAATATCTGTTGAACAATATAGTACAGGAAAATCATTGCTTCTTGCTGGTGGTGAGAAAGATGGTGCAAAACAAAACGTTATCTTTTCTCCATTAAAACTCTCAAACAAATTCCACCCCCTCTTTTTTAAAATTATTTTTAATACACACTTCCCTACATTTTAAAGTTACCAATACCTCCTCTGGGGGCAACTACACACCTTCATTGTACCAGTTAGTTTCGCAGGACAACAGTGTTACACCATCTATTTTCATGGCTTGTGTGAAATACAGTACGGGAAAATCAAATTATGGCCAGCCACATGCCTTTGGTAAAATTAAATGTCTGGTGAAATCACATTTTCTTCAAACTCAGAAAGCCACATGTTGAACCCATGTAATATTTTACACTTGAATTCTATACAAACTTCTTCTCTTCCTCAAAGCAAATGTAAGCAGCTGTCATCCCACTCAAACAAGCAATTTCCGGAAAGCAAATTCCATTCCTGAAGTAGGCTGAAAGTCTGGAACTTCAGAGAAACAGCTCTCCACATGCCTTGATCGCCATTCAATTTGTGTTTCAGAGAAAGAAGTAGAAAGTCTAGTAAACATCCACAAACCTACAGGTCAAAGCAGTCACGATTCTTCCCCTTCTGACAATCAACAGTGATAAATATTCACAGTTTCAAAAAGCGTTCCATAGCAACACGTGCCACTCATTTGAGCAACGGACGCTCCTCTCCTTTGAGGCGCTTTTTCCGCGGCTGTACAAACTCATCATCCGAGTCATCCGTAAGTTCCGGGCTATCTTTTTCACTCTGGCAGTTTGGTTGTAAAGGGAACTTTCGCTCAGGATAAAGGTTCTTCAGAAGTTCTTCGAAGTATGCTTCAAGCTTCATGCCAGCATCAGCCACTTCTGAATCAGGCTGTTGGGTAAATTAATAGTTAAATTAATAGTATCACTGCATCAGGAAATAGCATTATACCTAAAGGACATAAGGTGATTTACAAACTATAAAAAGCAAACAGCAGTATTTATTAATGGTGCCCGTGGAACATGCAATAACAAGGAACAAAAGCCTCCAAAACAGGGGGAGAAGGCAGAAGTTTTGCCAATATCCCAATTTTTTCCTCTTATCACAGAAGTTAATTGCAAAAGACTTGTTGCCAGGGTTCTGAAAGCTATAT